GTCCAGACTGATAAACACCCCCCCCGGAATACTTGTCTTATCTACTCTACATGTAATGCATTCCTCTGTGGCCTCCAGATGTTGCTTCTGGACCAGAGCACTCAAAATTCTTAGAATGTTTTTTGTGTTTTTTTTCTTGTCTCTTTTTGTGTAGTGGGTTTGCATGCTAAAATCACTCACAGCTGCAAAGCTAAATGTTTGTTCGTTGGTCATTGTTAATACCTGGTGAAAGTTTAATATGATTCCTTGTTATAATGAAACATGGGAATGAAAGCTTAACAACAGGTAACCTCAAAGTGTGCTGTTTTTTGTCACAGTTAACGGGACATTGGGTAGTATTTTATGTATCTTATTAGCTAAAATCATTTTCTTCATTTGTAGATGTGTCCTCATTTGGTTTAAAATTACATCTGCAATGACCTGACATAAGGTCCATAAGCAAAGAGTTTCCTATCTGTATATACATAGGACAGGTAAGTCCACGGAGGTTTCCATGTCGTTCCGCCATTTTAAAAAACTATAATCGCAGAGAGGGACATAAAGCACTAGTATTCCTGTCTAGCTAGATCCACAACGCTTTTTCCTTCAGAGCCAGAGTCACGTGACTGAAACCAGCTATAATAAGTGAAAGGTGCTTGCTTGTCACCTCTATGCTAGTCACTGCCCCGGAAAATTTGAAAGCTCGCATTGCACTAACGATTAAATGCAGTTTCTAATTTCTTTTAAGTTACAAACCACATCACCCGAGTGAAAACTTGATGGCGTGGAAGTCATGTTGTCATTACTTCTTGATGCATGATGGTTACCGTAGTTGCAATACCCATTTGAAAACGTGAGGCACCAGAGGGCACGATTTGATAGAATTCAAAATAAAATTTCACTGTTAGATGAGAAAAATTCCTACACCATGTACCCTGAAAGGTTCCCACTCTTAAATAAGCAATATCAAAATTAACCTGTTTCGGAATTATAACAGTTTCAGTCAAAGTACAAAAAGAGTAGTCAAAACATGTTCTTATCACCATTATCACCTATTGATTATTTATCTGTTGTAATTCTGTTGTAATTTTAAAAGGATTTTTTTTCTGTTTTGGATAATGGCCCTTAAAACATGTGAATTTATCACAGTTGCAAGAGAGTGAAGCACACACCACTTAAACAAATGAAAGTAAAGGGGAGCTATTTAATGTCCAAGAGAGCCCAAAAGTGGGTGGATGCATATTAGCTGAAAAGCAGAGAAGAAGTGATATCTCTCAGACAAAATTACAATTATGAAACAGTTTCAATGGCACTGAAGTTCTTTATCAAAGGCAACTTTATCATCACCTAGTGTTTTAAAAGCACTAAATCATAATTATGAAAACAGACCTGTGATTCTCAAGCATTTAGCTCAAGTTTCCACCCTGAGAGTGGAAAAAAAGAGGTTTCGAATAACTCCAAAATACTCCCCACAGTTTAATCAAGTCTGGAGTTCTGACAGCATGGTGGAAGCCTGACCAGACGGCTGAACCAACACATGCAGCTGACATTTGAGACTGTGAGGTGAAAGTTGAGATTCCATGCCGTGCCCAACATTGCTTGAGAGGTGACGTTCCTAAATAGTGAGAGATAAATGAGATCTGATCAAACTTGTTGAGTTTACTACGAATTTGTCCATTGATGTAACAGTGAAGTAATATTAAATCAAACACATAGAAACAGGGAAATACAAACATTTATATTGTAAGGCCTTTTTGAACAATATTTTTAGGAAACATTTCCCTTTAAGAAAGAACATGCAGCAGAATAAAAGAAGGTACACCCTTTCTAAGTTCTAATGTATGTATGTTATGCTAATGCTAATGGATGGATGGATGGATGGATGGATGGATGGATGGATGGATGGATGGATGGATGGATGGATGGATGGATGGATGGATGGATGGATGGATGGATGGATGGATAAATGGATGGATGGACAGGCCTGTCTTGACCTGCATGATATTTATTTTTCTTTTCACCTGAGACAGAACCAATGGAATTTTGAGGAGCCACAGTCATTTTTGTCAAGAACTTGTCTGTTAACATCATATCAAAATGGACACCAGAATTTACTTCTTTTATCTGAGCAACTTGTTCCCACACTAATGCTGAAAAAACACATCCAAAACATTTGTAGCACCCAGGCTGGACAACTGAAATATCATTTTAGTTGGCACAAAGTAATTCCCTAATCTGTCTGATAACATGCAAACTAAATACCGTCCTATCTGGATGATAGATCTCAATACACACAAAAAAGGAAATATCTTAAGCTGTCAAGCTTGTTTTCAACCAATCTAAGGTTTCGGGGTGCCGTGTTCTGGCCATGGAATCAAGGCAGGCATCCAACCACTGTACTTCTAAATGAAAAATGACTTTCCTGTCTCTTAAGCTGCAGTCTCAGCCTCAAGGAAAGCACAGAATGCCAAACAGAAGGTGGTGCTTTTTTCATTTTAAACCAACTTTAAAACTTTGCCTAAGATACATCTTGGGCTCCTTCAGATTTCTGCGTACTTGTCTGTATGATGTACATTTGCAACATCCTAAAACCGGATAGAGGGGACTTACTTCCTGGTCATAAAACGATGCAGCAAATCAGAAACACAATAAAAAGCACTTCATTAGTCTGCATTACTCCAGTGGACAAAAAACTTCAACAGAAGACAATTCTGCTCTAAGTCTGTTACATACTTTACACTTAAAGGCAGTTGGATGCCAACAGTCCCCCAGTACTAACTTTACCTTTGAGCTTACAGCTCCCAGGGTGGCCAATGGAATGACCTCATTCAGCTTGAGATTTACATATTGAGAGACGTTTCTTGATAACTCTTTCTTGTATTAGAGAGTGAATCCCCATCTTGTATAACACCAGCGTGAAGATCACATGCACAACATGAGCTCGGGGTTAAAGGAATGTAAATTAAACCATAAAATACAGCAATGACGCTTTTAAAAATAGGCACAAAGAAGAGGGCCTGCTGATGTAAACGGCGCAGATTTCAAAAGATTAAAGAAGAGTGAGCAGATGTTTTATGAGCTTGGAAACACATTAAACACGTCTCTTAGGCCTGGAGGACACATATAATGAATTTTGATGTGAAAAGCTGAATGTAAACAAAAACCCATTTTGTTTACGGGCCCTCCACAGGACACCTTTAATCAAAGCATACCCCAGCATCACTAAACCAAAGGAATCCAAAAAAAAAAGCATCAACTCACTCCAGTGAAGGCGGGTTCACACTCCTCTGCTTGCATCATGTGGCGTGCTTATGCTAAAGGGGCCACTGATGTTGTGGCTTGCATAAGCCTCGCCTGTGCCCGCACATGCTAGTAGGAGCCCACTCGAACCAGTGGGTGACATCCCCCCAGGGAAAGTTCTGCGTCCCCGGGGAGGCGAGAGCGTGGCATCGGTGCAAAACCGTTGGCTGAGGCTCACAGGGAGTTTTTTTTTTAATTGTGGCTTGGTCATGCTGAAGTAATAAGGGAAGCCGTGGTGTCAGAAAAGGTTGCCAGCAATAAACGGTGCCGCGTTACATGAGCCATGTGTTATTTTACAGGTCTTCTTACGGGCATAGCTTTCTCTAACTTCTTCTTTTTTTTTTCCCCGAGTGAAAATGGGACGAGCGGTTTGTTTTATCATGATCTTCATTGCCTCTCATAAACTTTTTTTTTTCTTTTCTAATGAATTATTTCCACCTGTGAATGAATCGACACCATACAATGCATACATCGGTTTGTTTTGGGTTTGTTGTTGACATTAACGAAAAGATAAACATGCTATGTTGTGTTCGAGACATGGATCTGCAGCAAAATATTCTTCCAAAGCGAACTCAGGAAACAGTTCCCTTCGTAACTACTGTTTTTCATCATTTGTTGTTTTTTTTCCATTTCAAATCCAAGTTCATTGAGAGATCTTTCCAAAACAATTGTTTGTAAGGCTGAAAGGAAAGTCTAATTGAATTTTTTGGGTTGCAGTCAGGAATGAAACCCAAAGTTTTATGGGAGTTCTAATTGTGCTCCCACTTTAGCTATCAGTAAAGAGTGTGGAGGGTAATTTGCCACTGAGCTGCTTATGAGACAGGTGAAATTGAATTTCAGGCTTTCACTGTGAACTTTGGCTCTTATTCAGCAGAGTGACTTCCTTTGCAGAGTGCACCTGCATATTCATCACTAAAAACAATAAAGGGATAGCTAAGTGGAGAACAGTAAGCACTATTTTTGACAATTGATTCTTTATTCGTTTTTGTTTCTTCTTTAGCCTTGAATAACTTGAGCAGTAAGACTTTCCCGTCGTTCATTGGCTGTCAATAGAAAATTGAGACTAAATGTGGATTCAACACAGCCCACCTCTGCTCCATGCCTGAGTGCTGGCTTGATTATCATCAGGAGCAGGTTTTATTGAACAAAAAGTTGGAGAACAAGCCATTGATCAAGGGGAATGGTTGGTCAAATAGAGAGAGAGAGAGAGAGAGAGAGAGAGAGTCGGGGAGCCTGACTTGTCTTTAATTAAAAGTAAAAGGTTTATCCTCTCAGGCAGCTGCTCTCCAATGGCCTCACTGGTTACAAATAAAGACCAACAAAAGGAAATCTAAAGGGTCAGATACAGAAGATGACACAGAGAGGCAAAGTGATGTAGGAAACATGTGTTTTTCTTCCCTTTTGCAGAGTAAGTGGTTATCAACAGGTATTGCACCAGAGGATCTGTAAGTGCTTAGTCGGCAGGAAGAGGCACCATATGATTTTCCAGTTTACAGAGATGTGTTTGAATGGTTTCTCTGTTTGTGTGTGTGTGCGTGTGTGTGTCTGCTGGAGACAGAAAATAGGGCGTCTCACTCAGAGTCCCTCCCCAGCCCTGCCCAATTCACGCAGAGGAGTATCCTGTTGCAAAGCCTCCCAAAACTGGAAACTCATTCAGTCTCTTCTGAATGGGGTGTCTTTAACGTGAGAGTGGAGGACTTAACTTTCAAGCAAAAGAAGTCATGAGCGTCCCGCAGACGGTGCTCGTCGGAGCCTTCCTGACCCTGCTGCTCTGCCTCCCCGGCCCCGGTCATGGAGGTAAGTGCCACCGCAAATCATTCTGTGGGTGTTCTGTTTCCCCCCCCCAACCCGCTCCCCCTTATGCCAGGGATGCACGAGAGGAGATCAGGTCACCGTCTCTGACTGAGGCCTCCCCGTTGCATAAATCAAAGCTTGACAGCCCGCTGAGGTAATGCTTTTAAATGTAAAAACTTAGCAGCGACTAGCTTTTTACAGCAGTTGAAACAAAAGAGCAAACTAAAAAAAGAGAAGAAAAAAAGTGAGTCCTTGTCCCATTCACAGAACACATGTCAGACATTATGAAGCTTTCTCTTTTTTCTGAGAATACACTGGGGGGAAACGACGTACCACAGCCTGACCTCGCTCCAAGGACTGTGACAACATCTGCTGGTTTCATGTAGTGCTTTCTCTCCCTTTTTTTTCCTTTTTTTTTTCTTCTCGCCTTTTAGGCTGAATGTGAGAGTGTGTTTTGAGAAGGTCTGCGCTAAAAGCGTGTTGGCAAAAGGCAGGAGGTAGTAAAGCCGAAAGCCTCTGAGCTGAGGTTCTTCTGTAGGCAGCAATGAATGGCTCTTTCAAAGGGGGAGTGCACAGTGGCGGGCAGAGCTGCTCCTTACTCGCCCAGAGAGAGGAGATGAAAGTAAAAGAGAGAGAGAGAGAGAACGCGGGTGTGGTAAATGTGTGAGAGGCGGTGTGCGGTTGATTGCTAAGACTCATACAATGGTGCCATGGAGTTTGAGTGCTGTCGATTTACCTTGTAGATATGATATGAAGACCTGGTGAGAAATGTATTATCTATGTGCGTGCACAATTGAAATTTTGTCATCAAAAGGTTTACAATGCAACTGATGGGATTAAAAAGGAAGTGTAGAGGTTTTACCACACCTCACAGTGTTTATGTAGTATAGGAACACTCGTTGCTGTTTTACTGTAAAAAGGAGCGGCCAAGTGTAACAACGAATGTAAAAGTACACTAACGTTTTCATAGTGAGAACATCACAAATGTAGATGCAAAAAGTTCATAACAGACAGATCAGTTGCAAAAAAACGAGGAAAAAGGGCTAGAATCAAGAGACATTCTGTGCGAATTAGTCTGCAACATTGGCTTAGAATATTCAAAAATATAACCAATAGTTTACTCTTTGAATATTAAACATGGCATAAAAGAAAACATAAAGCCTAAGGATGCCCTGGAATGCTATTAGCCATATTGCACTCTTTATAGCTACGTTCTACAAAGATATCAGAGCGTGACGGTTAGGATATAAGGCGGACCTGAAAGGCAGACTATTGAGTTAGAAAACTAGCAGTATATCTGCAACTCGTTCCCATCAGTCTCTTCATTTACATACACTAGCATGTTGACGTTGTGCATTGGGAATGGATGCATGGAGCTAGCTGCTTTCTGCTGTCACTCTAGCACAGATCTGTCTTATTCCGCAGCCCATCTGGAGCGTAAAACATCTTTGTGTATGATCGCCCCATAAAAATGAGGCACCACACACAGTCCAGTTTCTCCCTGCAGAGGTTGTTTTTTTTCTCTCCTCCACAAACGCATCCATGCAGGAAAGCTAATTCGGTGTAGCGCCCCCTTACTTCAAAAGTGTTCCGTGCCCTTAAAACTTGTGTGACATTGCAACCTGCGGCGAAAGATAATATCAGGATAAGAGCAAACTGACACGATTTATTGTTCTTTGTTCTGTAAGCACTACTGGGACAGAGGCTGGTTGGTCATTTTTTGTCGTTTTTTTCGTTTTTATGTGTTATTTTGTGTCTTTTGTAATGATGGTTTGGTTTCTTTTGGGTCATTTGAACTGTTTTCTGTCTGAACTTGTCACCCTGTTACCTAGTTTTGAAAAGTACAGTTGGGAATTTTTTATATTTCTTCCAGATTCGCAATGTTTCAAACACCCATTTTCCCACGTTATAATGATCTGTATATACTTTCAAAATAAGCCAGTCCTCAAAAATGCTTTAACCAGTTTAGCCCAAACCATGCCAGTAAAGCAGATACAAGTCGGTAGCCGCTCCCCGACTCCAGACCCTCTTTCCAGATATTAAAAACCGTCAGTGCAAATTCCCGTCCAATTTAGCTCATTTGGCAGCCGAGCTGAAAAAGTGGCTTTGATGTGAAACGGAGTAGAGTTGCTTTGTTTCGGTGGCACGGAATCAAAGCTCTGCCGGGGTGCTGGATTCAGTTCCACCGCACTCTGATCAGTTCATCGCGAGCATGAAAAGAGTCGTCTGGCCCCTGTGTTTGCTCATTTACAGATAAGCCCGAGTGACTGGCGTGACAGAGACACCTCGGTAGAGTAGTGAGTGGAGGCCCTGGCTGTCTGAGCGAGGTCACATTTGCTGACAGTTCACAGACACAGTGTGCTCGACAATCTGAGGATATAGGCAACACCATAGTTAAAGGAGCACCGACCGACAAAACAATGCGGCGGTTGTATTTTCACTAAGATCGCACGCTCTTTCCTATCAAAATGAAACCAAAAAACAAGCAAGCCAAAACCGTGGAGCCTTCTTCCTCATCTAATTATCTGCTGGCACAATCTTTTGCCGCCTCAGTGGGAACACTGAGGTCAGCGCTAATGTTGACCAGATGTGCCAAGTCAGTTATTGAATTTGCCCCCTCGCTCCCTCTCGCTTTCACGCCCCCAAGATGATAACCACAAGCTGTCGGGGGGAGCTCTTCTGTGTTTTACCTAAAAGGTTTTGAGAGGGCTTTTGCATCTGCAGAGGCAACGTCATCGAATGTCTGAAATCTACTTAGATCTTGATGTTATTGGCATGTTTCTCTGAGGTGTCACTTCAGGTTTTCGTTAAAGATATCTACCTGTACCTTCACCTTGTTTATGATTGGATACATATGTAGTTCATAGTGGCAGAAATTGATTATACACAGCACAGGGAGCAATGTCTTCTCGAAATGTTATGTTTTTTGTTATTTTTTCCGGGTAGTGGACAATTTTCCATAGTATAGTCTTACACATGGATCGTTTTTCCTCTGATCACACGAATCAAACTAACCGTTTTCTCTATGTGCCCGAATTCATGTTAGAAAGATATGGAATGAAGCTCAAAGATTTTACTGTTAAGCACTTTTTAATCCACCATCAAGGCATGCAGTATCTTCCTTAAACACATTACCTTCTGCTTATCAGTGAATTTGATTTTCCCCAAATGTAAAAACATCATCTTTGGCAATGAAACAGAGAGGCACCATGTCTATGTGTAGATGAGCCTTGAGAGAGCCCTTTTTCCACATGAAGGGATGCTCACTTTATCACGGCTGTATTTGAAAATTGGACGTGACATCTTCCTGTCCCGAGTATTCAAAACGCCCCACAGCTCTGTACAATTACAGCTGCCCTTCAACTGCCCCTTCACCAAAGTTTGGGAAAATTGGCAGTGTGGATATTTCCAAACTATAAATTGCTCTCAGTGCATCCGTGTTTCTTCGGTTGGTATGGTGATAGAATCTTTTTGTGTTTTTTTTTTTCCCCCATGTTTTTGTGGGTGCACTGATCGGGGGCACAAACAGTAATCCCACTGAGACTACATTTGCTGCCACTCCCATCTGCGTGGAGCCGGCGTTTAATGGCTTTTTTCTTGCTCCATTAACAACCTCCCAACAGCCTTTTCTATTGTTTTGTTGCATCTTTTGGCTACGCTTCGCAGCAAACAGGAACCGACAGCTCCCCGTGTCAAAACTCTACCGACACTTTTTCTTGTTGCATATTTATGACATGAAAAACATACCAGATCACCCCTTAAAGAACAGTGACTGAATTAGGGACAGAAATATACAAAAGAATGCATTTTTAAGCATTTTTGAGAGTGTATTAGAGATGCTTTGCTCCTGAATGTTTTTTGCATTCTAAATTGCAAGGCTTGACAAAGAGGTTTACATCCCGAGACTGCATATGAGCCTGTTATTTCCCCTTGGGTCAGGCGTCTCTATGGTAACGAGGAGAAAAAAATAAATACGGAATTTGCCTTGGCTTTGTGAAGTGTCAGCATACAAGGACTCCATGTGTTCCCTCAGAGTTGGCAGCGAGAATCGTGTGACTACAAGTGTCTGCGCCGAAGATTAATAAGTTCAATATTTGCAATGGGAAATTGACGAGATTAGGGTCCTGCTGCTTGCTCAGGTCCCACAGACACAGCTCCTAATCTCCCCCTCACCTCTTAGTTTACACACAACGTGATGTTAGGATAGAATAGAAAATCCAGCGTATGGGACATATCCAAACAAGAAAACCAGACTGTTTATAAATGGCGAGCTGGACGCAGGAATCCTTTTCTGCTCGCCCCTCCACAACCTTCTCTTTTACGCCTCATTTTTGTAAATAGGAAGTAAGATTTTAGCCACAGTTGCATGAAACTGTCATAAAATGTTTGGTGAGTGACGTTTCAAAGTACGGCAACACACACACAACAGTATGAAAAGGGAAGAAGTAAGACGTTTACAGTTCTACACTAACATCTGGGGGTAAAAAATGTATGGGCTGTGCAGAAGTCATCTAGTATCAAAGACATTTTGCTCACTAACAAGCTCCTGGGCTCTTGGAAACTAGACCCTCCTGACATCTCTTGGCAAGAGATACAATTAATATTGATAATATTTCCTATCTTATGAGTCTCTCACCTCTGCTTGCCATACATTCCTTCACGCCACTTTCAGAGAGCAAGTTTCACTGAAGTCATGTTTTATTAAGTTATTTGGGGGATTTTGGCCCAAGGCAAACACAGCAAGAGTCCGACGTGAGCCGCAGGAGCAACCTGCCTCACTTTCCTCCTTCTATAACTTCTTCTCGATACTACAGGTGGAATTTTCTGGCCTTCCACTCAAAGTGAGCAGCTTGTTTGCTCAGGCCCGTAAAAGACAGCCCGGAGTGTAATTATTAAATGTTTTATTCCCGTAAGCAAGACGCAAGACTACATCTCTATCAAGTGAGTTTGGGAAATGGGGAAATACTGCTTTATCGAGGCCAGGCTGTCTACGTTGTCATACATTTAACTTAATCATGAGTTTGTTGCACCACTGAAAGCTTGAAACATTTATATATGAGCGCATATAAGTCAGTATTTCTGACAAATTACTCTATAAACCGCTCAATGCATGACTCGGAGTGAAAATACCTATTATTAGGTCTGTAAAATGGTGGGAGATTTTTACAACAAACTTCTGGAAAATTATTTTGCATTTTTGTTTGAGCTTCCCCTCAAACCGAACTTAGTTAACCTTTGGGTAATGCCCAACTGGACAACTGCCAGTGGACCCATAGGAATCCCACAGGCTCCAAACCGCGAGCAGTTTGACAAGACAGCATTCAGTTAACCCATTTAAACTTCGATTTTATCTGTTTATTCTGAGCTTATATAAAGCATATTCCTTAATCAGTTATGGGCTTAAATCACCACAGTCCAATTAGTAATTCAAACATTATGGGAGCTGGTTAATTGAGCTTTGCCTATGGGTTTCATCCGACTGCTAATGTGTCTTCTTCTGTGGGGCTTCTTTTGTACTAGAGTCTCCTCTATTACTTATAAGTAAGTGAGATGGTAAACAGAAGTATAAGAAAAGCCATGAATGATTGCCGCATCTAAAAACATCACGAGCTAGTAAACAGAATCTTTCTTTAATGTAGGAGTTATTTGT